TCTCTGATTCTTCATGCAATGTGTGTTTTCACGTTTCAAAGGCGGAAAACGCTTTTTTGGAATGCATTGATTCAGAATCACACGGAAAAATGAGTTTTTATTAAGAAAATAGACAATTCATGCAATAACAAAGCATACGATAGTATAAAAATCAAAACTATTTTCCCATAGGAAAACAAAAAATAACGTATATTTTTAGTGAGTAGGTATTCATCGAGCATACTCCCACTATAAACTATTTTCTAGTTTTCTGGCCGGCAAAGAGCCAGAGAATCACAACTACAACAAATTATGGTGAAGTTATCTTGATTTTCCATATAATTTGAGAGAACATCCGAGAACTTCACCATAAACGAAATACAAACAGATTCCTTGTTTCTCTGCGGGCCAACAATCACATATACATTACCTTAGGGCAAAGTTCTTCCGAGGTTTCTCATCAAATGAGAAACTTGAGCAGAACTTTGCCCTATTCGAGTAAATTTACATTCTCTGACGTGAAGAGAGTCATAGAAATACACAAGTATTAACTTATGGTGAAGTTTTCTGGACTTCCTTCCTCATCTGAGAGACATCCAGATAACTTCATCATAAACGAATTACAGACAAGTTCTCTCGCTGTTTGCAGGACAAATACCACAAATTCATTACACTATTGAAGAGTTGTTCCGAGGTTTCTCATTCGATGAGAAACCTCGGAAAAAATTTGCTCTAGTGGAATAAATTTACCTCCCCTAACACACAAATGATCAGATATAACAAGCACAGATTTTTAAGGTATAGCTTTGTTGAAAACCTTTCAACGAATGAGAAAGTTAGGAAAAACTCTACCTTATAAGATCAACTATAGAATTCATAGCTCTTTGAATACTAGGAAACATTAATGCAGTAGTTTAAGGCAAAGTTTTTCCGAGATCTACGAAGGATAGAGAGATCTCGGAAGAACTTTGCTCTGCACAAGTAATTTCAGAATCTATGGTCCTCTAAGGACCAGAGGACGGTAATGTAAAAGAATGATGTCAATAGCAGATAAATAATAGCCTTAGAAGTTCAATACGTGCACAGTTTGACTACATTGCCCTAGTAGTTAGACTGTACAGGTATTGTACTTCTGGCCTAAAAAATCCTCATTGAAGACAATAGGTAGAAACTCAAATTGTTGATAAATATCCCAAAATATCATAAGAGAGCCCATTATTGTTACCTGGCTCCTTCCTGGCTTTCAAAGTCTGTAAACGAGAAGTCTTGGCTCTTGTGGTAATTGCTTCCAAGAGGTTTACTCAATTCGAGTAAAACTATAAACCCTGTAACTGACATGTACTTCCTTGAATGGGCATTAAAAGTAATTTAACCTAACGAATAGTAACATGACTCTCGTAAACGAAAAAGAGAATTTGACGCAGTCAAATCCTCTCTCTCAAAAAGTGGACTTTACATGGCAAATTTCAAATGCATGTAAGGTCCACTTTGATCAGTTTCAGGATGGAATTGGAGGCCATGAGGTACTGACATTGCATCAGTATCTCATAGCCTCCAATCCCTTCAAAAAATGGGAGAAACTTTGGTCGAATAATTTAACATTCGGCCAAAGTTTCTCCCATAATTAATGAGAATGAAAGGGTAAGAGGCATATAGGGTCACTATATACCTCTTACCCTTTCATTTTCATTTGGAGGTCAACAAACCCGGAGTTAATTGCAAACAATTAACTCCAAATTTGTTTATGTTAAGGAAGGAATTGGAGGGTAAGAGGTACATAGTATGAATATGTACCTCTTACCCTGCAATTCCTTCTAGAAAGTTCCAAAACTTTGGGTTAATTGCAAACTATTAACCCAAAGTTTTGGAACTTTCAAGTGGAGATGGAAGGCTTTGGGGTATATATTAATATAATATACCTCAAAGCCTTCCATCTCCACTACAAATGGAGAAACTTTGTCCGAATAGTTTAACATTCGGACAAAGTTTCTCCCATCTTTCAATGTAATTGCTACCTGTGAGGTACTGACTTGAAGTCAGTGCTTCACAGGTAGCAATATCCAAAAATTTAAAAACATTTTATCAGTTCGTTAGAGAACTAGAGCCTCCTAGGTACTGAACCAGAATCAGTGCCTAGGGGACTCTAGTGATCTATATAAATCTGAGAAACTTTGAGGAAATTGTTCGACATTTCCTCAAAGTTTCTCAGCAATTTAGCGAGGAATGTTCGTTATCGTGTAGATATTTATAATATATACATGATAACAAACATTCCCCGCTAAAAGATGTAAAATCTTATAAGAAATAATTGCAAAAGAATAACAAATTGCAACAAATTTTATATGAAACTGAACCTTATGAGGTAGTGATTCAAGATCACCGCCTCATAAGATTCAGTTTCAATCTCAAGTATCTCAAAAGTAAGGCTCTATTTTTTGCCATGTAAAGTGTCACTTTACTGTCAAGCCGTTTTTATCGTTTTCGTTTACAACATGACCACTATTTTGATGACTAAGAAATGTAATTCATCAAATTGGCAGTTCGATGAATAATACCATGCAATCAACAACTGGTTTGTTACAATTTGGCTTGATTCATCAAATTGGCGGTTTGATGAACCGAATATTGTAATCCAGACTAGGTCAGTTACAATTTGGCTTGATTCATCAAATTGGCGGTTTGATGAACCGAATATTGTAATCCAGACTAGGTCAGTTGCTTGTTGGTCATAGATAATAATGACACCTTTCAGTTTTTGTTAAACATCTCAATTATCCCGCCAAAAATTATTGGGTCTAAATTGGTTTTTATTATTATTATTTTCAGAAACAAACTAACTTGTTTTTTAGGAATTTATCATTCATAAAGTCTTTATGATATATTTTCAACTTATAATGAATATGAAATTATAATTGTTATTTTGAAAAAAAATTATTCATGATCAATTCATGATTTAACCATTTCCTTCAAATTAGGAGAGCATATTCAAATATAATCGCTCATTAAAATCAATTTTTATGTTTTTTTTTAAATCGAAATTATCTCATCATAAACCATGCAAACTGACTATTTGTTCTTATCACCATGTTACCAATATCAGAATTGTCTTTACAGCCAAAATTTCGCTCGATAAAAGTCCATCCAATAGTGAGATAATTGAGCAACGAACATTTTTCCATATCACAAAAAACCTCCCCAGAATAAGGGTACTTTTTTTTATCAAAATATGAAAAAAAAAACTAGGCGGTGTTTTATAGGTCCTCAAGGAAGAATGGAAGCACAAGAAACTCGTATTTCGCCTAGCCTTTGTGAAGAGGTCACACTTGTAGCAGTTAGTGAAGAAAATGAATTCTTGTTGGAAAATTGAGAAGATATTAATTTTTATCACTTTTCGAAACTTCAATGGGGAGAAGCTTCCTAAACTTTTTAATCCCATAAATATGGTCATTATCTGGAATAAAGAGTTAAGCGTCATATGTCACTTTTTGTACTAAGGAAACATCGACTTTATGCGTTATGACTTTTCGATGAGGAAACAAGTGTTCACGTATTATAAACTTCCTTATTCCAATAAACCAACCCTAAACATAATTAATTCTAAGAATGATAATGGTCTCTTTTCTATGATAACCAAATCAATTTGGTTATCATAGTAAAGCACCAAAAACTGGAATAGGAATAACCGCGTTTAAACAGGAATAGGCAATATGGAAACTAGAGAAGACTCAACTGATTTTTTAAGCAAATCTTCTTTCTGATTCAAATCTGCTTTGCTCATCATTGTATATTACTGCATTTTTATTAAGATACTTTAATGCATGATCAATGTACATCATTCTTTTAGCAATTTTTTAAATTCATTCTGCTAATTACGTTGAATTTTGTTCAAAAGATATCGTAATTCCATAATTTAATACGTAAAATGTTATTGAATAACTCTGATTATTCCTTTACATGCAAAATGAGTGTGTTCTTTTTTACATTTTTACTCATATTAGATCAAATTTAACCTGATTTTATACTATTAACACTTATTTTAGAGGGGATATACTTAAATCTCTATTGTTTTAATAAAAACTTAAAAAAAAATATAAAAATTTTCAAAAATGTTAAAATATACTAGCTTTCAAAGAAAGCAAGTCATTTTATAAGGAAGACATTATATGTTTAGGAAGGAAATTCCGTGTAATAACCAAAATAGGAAAGAATATTCAATCATTATGAAAGAACTCTATTCTAACAATTTGTGAGACATATATCTTTATAGCGACATAGTTGCAATTCATGTTTTATCCCCTTTCCTTCATTGATTTTAATTAATGCATTCATTCACTGAATATGCATGCTCAAAATCGAACATTTGCCTTACTAATCAACGGACAATGAATGTTTAAAAATGATTAGTATTGAAAAGTAGCTGGAATTTCAGTGTTGTTTTGTATATTTATTCCAAGTGCAAATTTAAATAAAATATACTTATTCAAAGTGCAATGTTTACAAACAATCAATCAATAAAAGTCACATCTTTTTTTCACTGGAAAAAAAAATGATATTTTTTTATAAAGATAAGTATTTAATTACAATAGTACGAATTTAATTTTTAGACTGAAGTTTATTCATTGTTACCGTTTTTAGTCTAAGTTTCTAGGAAATGAGTATTTTATTTTGCAAGATAAAGTTCTTCGATAAAATTAGCATGAAAAATCTTCTTTCGTATAAGAGTAATAATAAGTTTCCGCAAATCTTATTGAGAATAGTACGAGAATTTTGTTTGAAATTTAAATTTTGCATAAATAAAGAATGGATGCAAGAATTTTCCAATTCCATTTTGTTAGAGTTGATTCGTGATTCCATATTGTCGATTCCTATTCCTGTTTTTGGTGCTTTACTATGATAACCAAATTGATTTGGTTATCATAGAAAAGAGACCATTATCATTCTTAGAATTAATTATGTTTAGGGTTGGTTTATTGGAATAAGGAAGTTTATAATACGTGAACACTTGTTTCCTCATCGAAAAGTCATAACGCATAAAGTCGATGTTTCCTTAGTACAAAAAGTGACATATGACGCTTTTCAATAACCTTTGCATTTCCAGAATTTCCAAGGCGACTTTTACGTCTGACGAATAAAGTAACATCAAGAGCACGTGCTAATGCTGTGCTAGTAACAACCTTGCCGAAGCTTCCACTTGCACCAATAATGAGAATCTTGTTCAATGCACTCATTAATAAAAATGATTAAGGATACCCTTACGTGTCAGATTTTTTGCGCATACGAAGAAGTCATGCTAGACATGAGCTATAAACCTGAAATTTTAGCAACATATTTAAAACTTTTTAAACTACAATACACTTTAATATTCAAGAACAAAAATATTCTTTTTAGAAATTACATAATTATTTTATGTGAAATCTATATAAAAACATATTTTGCGAGCGTAACTTTTTTCTTTATAAGCACCTTATATGACTGATAAACTGTGAAGGCACATAATTGTTAATTCATAGAGTTGATATGTTTCCAAAATTGAGAGGAAATTTGAAAATTGAATACCCTTTCAATTCAATTTTCAAAAGATATCAGCTCCTTCAATAATTGAAGGACGATTTTGATCATTTGCTCTTAAAACAAGTATGCCATGGAGAAAAAAGTTACGCTCGCAAATCTGAAATATAACTATCATATAAAAAAATTAAATTTCTAATTTTTTACTCTATAGATATTATTGGCCACTTGTGTAATGCATAAAAGTTTATGTCATATGCATACATTTGGAAGTATGGGAGACGAGGGAAATTACTTCTATGAGGCACTAGGATTTTTAAAAATTTCTCTATCAGACTCACTATTCAATTTCTCGAAAATTAAAAAAAATCAATAATAGCTAAAATGTATTATGCATAACAAATTTTAATGTTACACGGTATTTTTTGAACTTCATGACATGAATTTTCTTTATATTTTTTTTTTTTTTGGATTTTCTATGATTTATGCGATAGGCTGGAACAACATTGTAAGTGCAATGATATCATTTATAGAGAAATCTAAAACTTCAGCATTCAGAACTCGCAACCACAAAAATATTCATTTGCTAAGTAAGTAAAGTTGATTAAGTTCGACACTTAGCTTTTATACGTAAAACCAAGTGTGTATTGTTATTTCTTGTTAAATTATTGAGAAAAAAATAAATTGTAAGAGAAACGATACTGATTATTGAAATAATATTGAGGGTAGCTGCAGATTTCTTCATTAACATGCCGGAAATTTGTTAATCTTGGTTTTCTATCATAAAATCTGTCGAAGAATCTAAAAACGGAGATATGAAATAGAGATCATGTAAATCTAGAGTATCCTGTCAGAAAAATAGACTAAGCATGTAACCCTTTTTTGGTCATAAACACTTTTTACCACTTAGTCATACAGATGATCATTAAATTTAAACGAGCACTTTTTGTCAGAATTTATTCTTTTACAAAGACAGAAGATTTTAGTATTATTTAATATTAGTGCTGTAGCAAAATTCAAAAAACGGTGAAAATTCAGTGAATTTGTGAATTCACATTTTTTTTTCGACATTTTTCTTGATATATCCATGCACATTAAGAACACAGCTTTGATACGCTTAAAAAAGCATATTTCATATGAAATTGTTAAAGAAATAAACAATTTATATAAAAATTGCACTTATGGGCAGTTTAGATATATAATTTATATATAACATATATACAAATCCATAGACAAAGTGCAATAACTACAATGTTGTAGAAAATTACAGCAGAAATACTGACTTTTTGAAGGATAATAAGAATTCTTCTAAATGTTGTATTTTTATAATTTGATTGATTTTTTTTTACTATTTCATTAATCTTTTATGAATAATAATTATTTTTAATATATGTGCTATTAAAATTTCAAATTTTGACTAATATATCTAAGTTATCTGAACGAAACATTTAGAAAATATCATACTTACATTGAAATAGCAAGTAGAGCATATTAATAGCAAGTTTCTTGGCTTTATATCTATCATCTATTGTTGTTTGATCAAACAAAATTCACTCTATTATATGGTGTCAATTAATTAAAACAATTTTTAATAGTTATTTATTTAGTGCGAATAAGTGCAAACTCATAAATGAATAACTTAATAGTAGAAATGAATTATCTGATATAAATCTCACATTTTGTCCATCAGAAATACTTTAATTGCATACGCATAACTATTAGTAATACGTCTGGAGTGTCAATTAATAACAATCCCACAACAAGTAAAATTCAGATTTTTATTAAACTTATTTTTTCCTAAAAGTTTTCTCAAATTACTATATATACATATGTGGATAAAATAATAGTAATATTGTAAAAAATTAGATAATTTTTTTTATTTGAGAACCTCTCAAAAGTTCATTCAATTTATCAATTGTTTCAGTTTGATGTATATTCATTTCTGGAGCCTAAAACTTTAGCAATCATGACAATATCATATTCTCTTTCTAACTACGCAATGTAAGGGTATCCTTAACTCTTTATTCCAGATAATGACCATATTTATGGGATTAAAAAGTTTAGGAAGCTTCTCCCCAATAAAACATCCTCTATAAAAATTTAGAGCTCGCCATAATTTTACAATAGATTTGAGATTGGCAAAATTGGCATGTGTGGATGGCAAAATTGGCATTTGACAATTTTGTCATTGAATTCGGTTTTTATTGAATTGAAATAATTTTCACTCATAATTTCTCAATGCTTGCTCTATTAGGTTTTGCATATCGTGCAAGAATTGATCGAAGCTATGATTATAGAGCTGGAGACGTATGTGTTTCTCAATGCCACAGTAGAGATAGAACATACTCACACTGCATTACAAAGTGTAATCGCACTTCTTATCATCTTGAATTTGATGAAAGATGCTGGAAGAAAGACACTATCAAGTGCGAACGATTTGGAAGAGAAGATGACGTCCCACAAGCAAACTGCCCAACAGGATGCTTAGTTCCAATGTATTCTAGTTGCACAGATAAGTCAGCCCCACATTACACCTGTGTGACATCATGCATGAAAGAAGTCAGATACAAATCGGAATGCGACAATCTTCCATCAGGCAAAACGAAATGCGTATATTGGAAACCAATTTACAGTGAGTCAAAACCAAGATATGATTTCGATAATGCGAAATCAATAACAAAGTTTGTTGTTTAAGTATCGAAGAGAATCAATACTTTAAAAACTAGTTCTTGATTCAGGAATTTAATGTTTTTTATTTTTTATTGTTTCAAGTAGTCGATTATAGCTGAAAACATAGAATTGCAAGGTATGTAAAAAAAATTAAAGTAAAACTGTTCTTCGAGCCCTAGCACAAGCCATTTACGAACATAAATGTATTCTTCACAACCAAATCATTTGGTAAACAGGGCTTGACTTTCCAAAAATAGTTTTTTTGTATCAATTTTGGAACTTGGACGTAGAGATAACAAGATTTCGGCTAGAATCCACTCCTTTTGACTTATAAATAAATTGCCTTTGGACATTATAAACTTTGTTTTCTGAAACTAATTAAAATCTCCAAATTGTTTTGTAAAACTCTAATAAATTTGATTTTTGTACAAACTACATGCAATAGCAGGACCCGGACATTTGATTACATGAGTTGAAAATTTAAAATTTTGATAGATTCTTTGCTCCAAATTCTATAATGATAAAAAAAAGTGACCTAAAATGGAGGAAGAAAATCTTGTTACATATGCCGTACTTGATAGGTTTATTGATACGTCAATAGCTGAACAATACGCCAACTCTGCATTTCCAGAGCAAGTCGCTCGTGAAAATGCAGATATGACACTCCATTCTTGCGATGAAAACTTTTTCAAAGGATTATTCGATAAAGCATGTACTCAAACACAAAACCAATCAATTATATACAACTATGGTAAGTTTGTCAGACCGCAACCAAAAAGATCGGGAAAACGTATTATTTTAATCTATAATCAAGTGTTAAAATTCAATTTAGATTTCAGAATTTTCGGTCATACAAGAGCAATAGCACATTTTACGTTTGATTCTACAGGTGAATTCCTCATTACAGGTTCAGAAGACAGTCAATTAAAAGTTTGGCATCTCCCATCTCTCAGTATTGTTTATACTATGAAAGGCCATGAAGAAGGTCTTAAATCATTTGATGTTTCGCCAGACAGAAAGCTAATTGCATCAATTTCTACTGATCAATCGATACGACTTTGGAAATTCGATAATGGTGCGGCCGTTGCGATGATATATATTGCCGAGACCGGTCCATTAGTTGCCATCAAATTCTCTCCATGCGGAAGATTCCTTGTTTGCGCTTCAGATTCAGGTTTAGTCAGAATCTTTCAGATATCTCAGCTTATCCCTAAGCTAGACCAAATTAAAAAACAAATACATGACGGTATCCAATTCTTTAGTTGCCCAGATACTTTAACATATTTCAATAATTACGATCCAATGATATTTTTACAGAATACGCCAGTACCATTCAGACAACCACAACTACGCGAATGCATTCACTGCGTTGCATACTCTCCAGGTGGCAATTTCGTTGCATTTGGTCTTGAATCGGGAAATGTCATTGTTACAGCCATAGAAACCAGCCGAACATGGCGCTTCTATGCCCATACCAATGCCTGCGATGGCATTTACTTCTACAAGAACAATTTCCACCAAATCTTAACATGGACCAACAAAGGTGGCGAAGTTAAGGTCTGGAACCTCCAAAACAAGGTTAAACAAGTCACATCCTTCTCAGTGCGCTTCCAGCAGAGCCGTTCTCACATCATTGACGTTGAAGTTTCATGCGATGAATCATTAATTTTTTGTGTCACCGCACAAATGATATTTGCATGGAACTTGGACTCCCAGAACTCCCTCCTCCACATAGAAGGCCTCAGTCAAGTCGTATCCGTCTCTGCACATCCAATAATTCCGACGGTTTTTGCGGTTGCAATGAAAGGCAAAATTTTAATTGCAGATGCTATTAAAAGCAACAAACCGATCAGGTCTCTTGACATTCCATTCGAAACACCCAAACTTAACAGAGCGCAGTGGACACCCGATGGCCTAGGAATCATTGCTGTCGATGCAGGAGGCGGATATTATCATTTTAAAGCCGCTGATGTTGCTGCTTGTCGACAGATCCCAACTTTCTTCCCAAGCGACTTCCTGGCAAGCGAATGGGTACCTGGTGTGGGTCAGATAGAAGAGGAGACAAAGAAACACACACATTTGTCTCCTAGAAACACAATTATCGATTCTGACAAAGTTATTCGTTGCAATGATTACAAACCTGTAAAAATTTTGAATGAAAACACGGTTTTCCCTCCGGAAGTGATGTCCGCGTGGATAACGGAAGAGAAGTGGCTGACGGAGAACGCAGATACAAGCCACGATGAACAGGAAATTGTTGTTCCAGTGCAAAAACCTGTTCAACAGAAACCAACTTACGAATCTGATGGAGAAGAAGGTCCTTTGCCTGGAACTGGTTACGGACCAAAGAAGAAGAGGAGAGATAATGACGGTGACTTCGTAGATAATTGATTTTTCTTTTCTTTATTTTTTAATATATAATTTTTTTTTTCTTTATGTTCTTATCTTTTTTAAAATAAAAATACTTTGTATAAGTAATTTCCTTTTTTACACATTTAATATTAATATCTAGTTTGGAAAAATTACTAAAAAATTTTGGAAAGTTCATTGCCTTTACATTTTAACGCTAGAACAATATAGTGAAACCAATTCCACAATATCTAATAAGTCAGTGTGGGGTTAGCATGGAAAAAATTAAGATATTGTAAGATTTTTCCAACTTTGCAAACATATATATTATAGTTGGAGAAGATATATATGCTTCTGATCTATATTTCACATCTAAATACGATCGGCAGCAAAGTTTGTCTATAGATTTCCCACTCGTTTCTGAAAAAGAAGTTCAAGAAAATGAAACGAATCATATATTTTTATTTCATGAGGACTTTTCACTCATCAAATTGTTTAGAAAAGTCGAATTGATCCGACGGCAAAAAGTGCAACAAATTGACAAAGATTTTAGCTAGATTTATAAAAGTGACAATCTGCATGCAAACGAGGCATTCACGTCGTAGGAGTAATTACATACCCGAAGACGTGTCGATTGAAGAAATCGAACAAATGTTCAAGCAGAACGATGAGTTCGATAAGAAAAACAAGCATGTGCATGTTGATCCACTAATTTATGCGGATTATGTCGATGATTCAACAAATTTGTATGATATCGAAAAGAGATTTCAACTTCTTGAAATGCGACAAAGAAATGGAGAGAACGTATCAGATGCTGCAAGAAAAGTTTATCTCGAACTTTCAAATCCATCAGAGATCCACGATATTGATGGATGGCTCGATACATCAGGTGGTGTATTATGGGATGAAATTGCTTCCGATGATGATGTTGACTTTGATGAAAATATGTTTGATGATGACGACGAAGGTGGCTTAGAATCCAGAGATAAAGGCAAAAATAGAGGTAAGCGTATCAAAATTTCCACATTTTCAGACATATTCCATGTAGAACGCTTCGGTTTGATGATAGAACGTTGGCCGATTCGTAAATTAGCCAGAACTACACCAATTCCTGCAGAAGGCTTACAGCAAATAGTTTCTGAAACTAAAATGAAGAATTTCATTGAAATTAGACATGAAAAATTCAAACCATTATCAAATCCAAATAATTACGTCACTTATCCAAAAATTACAGGTGAAATTGTCAAAAAGCAATTACATAGAATCAATATCGATGGGTTTGTTATCGATCCACCCATAGGAATTAACATGGATCAAGATGAATTAGCAGATTTTCTTACAGCCTTGATTAGTTGTGGCGAAAACCCTTATATTATTATTTGGTCTGATCCAGATACCTTAGTTGATATTATTGACGCTGCAAATAAAGCATCTCTTAAACATTGCGATTCTGTAGCTGTAGAATTGTTCGATGGATTAATGGAACCAATCACATTACGTACGAAACATGGATTTCCACAGCATTCAAGGATGCTTCTGATGTTCCGCGCATTTGATGCAGAAAGAAGCAGTCTTGCGCAGCAAAGAATAAGAGACACAGGTTGGGGACTTGTTTATCCAAATGGGAAGAGCCACGGAAGGCTCGGAATGCCTACAGTCCCTCATGAGATTCTCGAAACTATGCTTCCTGCAAAAAGAAGGCAAAGAAGCTTTGTTGAAATATGGCCAAGTAGATTTCATTTAAGAGAGAATTGGATTTCAATAGATGAAAAATAATTTTTAATAATTTTTTTATAAATATATGTTAAAAACTTTTTTTAAAAATACTATTTTAATCATAATGGATATCTTTTCACTATTTTAAAGAAAAGGTACATTCACTGGGCGATAACAGTAATTCGGGACGGGACCCAGATAAATTAACACCCCATTTTAACATTTTTAAAACGCATTTCTATTATAATTAAATATGCTTCACAGCATTAAAATTGAAAAATAAGACTTTTAAAAATTATCTAATTTATCTGCTGAAGAACTAGAAAATTTCATATATTGTAAGAGAATCATCAATTGTTCAGATGGTGTTTAATATCACGGTATCAATACAACTGGAATATATACTTTATTCATCTAGTTCTATGATGATTTATAGCCTCATGAATTTTTAAAATTTTGTCAAAAATAGTGAATGTACCTTTTTTAAAGAAAGGGAACTCATATGAACATTTCTCAATAAACGTTATTTAAAACATTTTTAAGACTAATACTAGAACTTATATATTTGAAAATTAGAGAATAAGTCTTTTAAACAAGTATTTAGAAATGACAACAACAAAATAAAACCAAAGATGACCAAATATATCATTTTTATGATAAAATTAATTATCTTGCAATTACTATTCTGTAAATCCATTTTTGAGAAGAATTTCAATAATATTTTGTTTATTGAAATCTTTTGCAAATTGGAGAGGAGTTTTGCCACAATAGTTTTTGGCATTTTTATCTATATTTGGTTGAGAACTAAGATATTCACAAACATCAGCTTGGTTAAAAAATATAGCAAAATCAAGTGGTGTATTATCGCAATTAGTTTTTTCATTAATATCGATGTATTTTAGAGCAAATTTAACACCTGCGAGATTTCCTCTTAAAGAGAATGAAAAATTGTTTGTTTGGCTATATTTCTACTTCTCATATCAGCGCCATTATTAAATAAATGCTTCACAAGACATAAATTATTCCGCCACGCTGCTTCACAAATCATATTATATCCATTTTCATTGCAAACATCAGAATATTTTTCATCAACTGAATACTTGATTGCTGAGATATCACCTTCATTAGATGCCTTTTCAATGATTTCATAAATATGATTAAAATTATCTTTCGTCTTTCTCAGTCCTCCGAATTTTCTCATGTTTTCATATGTATTTTCATTGATTTCATGCTCTTTGATATTTGAAATTTCGAATTTAGTGGTAGTTTCTCTACTAAAGTAATTTATGTTGGAGAGTTGGAGTTTTGGCGCAGTTATCTCTGGTTTATTAATGTAGCTTGTGTTAGAAAGTGCAAGATTGTGAGGAATTTGAGACCGATTAAGGAGTGCACGCTCAAAAACCTCCGTTGAGATAGATTCTAAACCATGTTTAACTGAAAAGTTTTTGATGGATTTGATAGAATCATTACTGCAAAATTCAACTCTGACATAGCCAAGAATAGAGAAGAATGAATTATCAAATTCACTCAATGAATCTTCATTTGATATTTTAAGAGATTCTGATATCAAAACACTCTCAAAAAAGTCATATCCATATCTTTGGATAGTTTTGATCTTATATTCTTCTTGTAGATTAAACATTCTTGATGCAAAGAACGAAATACACTCGTTAATCTTATTTTGATCGTTTTGAACACTTGCATAATCGAAGATATCATAAAGGTTTTCTTCGTTGATTTCTTGATATGTTGACTTAACATATTCACAAAATATGTTTGTCAAATATTCGATACCGAATGCGCTGCTAAATTCGAATAAATCCCGATTGTGTGCTCGATCATTTTCAAACCTGAGAACACCTGTTTTGAAAAATTCCGAAATGATGTCTATTGTATTGTTGCATGATAGATTCAAATATTTTCTCACTGATTTTATTGAACTGTCGCGTAAATATTCATCATGAACGAGTTTGGAAATCATAATTGAGACGTCCTTTGATAATTCTATTCTCTCGTTATTAACATAGAATGAAAAAGGTTCTTTACCTTTAATATCATTACCCCTCTCGATCACCAGAAACTTTCTTGTGAACATATTCATTTTTTTAAAAGATGGTTTTTTTATAAACACTTCACTTCATCGTCATAATTTTATTAGTCATTAATATCGTTCGATATCAAGGTACAGTAAATATCATTTTGGGAAGGCTTGATAATCTAAATTAAATATCTGATTTTTTATTTTATCAATATTTCCTATTCACTATCGGCGCAATTAGTGAGTCATTATATGGTGATGAAAATTAACTATTTTCAAAACATAAAATGGTTAATAAATATTATTGCTGATAATTTTTCATCAAAATCGATCAGATGAACCAAGTTTACTTAGTAAATTATTAAACAAAGCATTTTAGATGATAATAGTAAAGTAGATACACTTCAAACATCCATGAAATAAGAAATTAAATTCAAATTAATATTAATGCATCTAATAACAGTATTTTTAAAACAAAAGCTTTACAAACAAACAAAGAAGCGCTATATAATAAGAATTAGAAGTATCTAACAACTAATATAATTTAATTTCTCATCTGAATTGCAGTTTTCCCTTGAAAGGTTTGATCAGTAATAATATCAGGTTTCTCCTTTAAATAAGCAATAACTTCATCAATGTTTCCAGAATATGCAGCCATAAGAATATTAAACTTTGTTGGTGAACTAAAATTGTGGTCAAAGTATTTCTTTTTATCAATCAGCCATTTAACTGCCTTAATATTGTTATTTTGCGCAAAAAAGTGGATGCATGATTGCATTTTTTCTTTATCTTCTTTATCTACTGGCGATTTTATATCAACATCTAGTTTGTCAAGTAATTTTAATTTAAAATCGTTACTTTTTGAAGCATTTATAACTAAATCTTCTATTTTAGATTTAAATTCCTGGTAATGCGTTTTTATAAAACTCCTTACAGTTCTATGATGAACTTTTGCTTCATCTTTAAATGATTTTAGATCAATAATTTTTTGTTTGAAAATTTCTGTAATTTTTGTGAGATTCATTGCATTTTTATCATTTTTCGCAGTGTGTTGAGAAATTTCTTCGTCCATTTGCTCATCATCTCTATTTGAATAAGGAATATCAACAATCGAATCATTACCTGAGTTCCCAATAGATAAAATCGGACAATATTGTGTAGTATTCATCATAAATTCATAAATTGAAGTAAATATGTTATGAGGCGAGATTCGGAGCAAAGTTGGTAATCTTTTGAGGAAATTGTCGAGCGATTTGTGATCGTTGAAACATAAATCTAGATGTAATAGTAGAAAAATACATTGGTCGTCTGTTAGATCTGTATTATTAATAATTTCTCTGAGTAATTTGATTGCATAATCTGGTTCTATTTTTCTTGTAACATTAAGAATCTCTACTATACGATCAAAGCTAGAAAATGTTTTTGTGAATTCACCTTCGTTTATTAATTTACAGACAAGCTTCGTGTTGTTTTTAAAAACCTCATCAAAACTCATCGAAATTATGATTTTTTATTTGGAAGACTGCAAAAGAATATGTAACAACAAATAGAATCTTTACTATATGAAAAATCAATTTCATGATCTTTCCTTTTCAATTGAAGGATTATCAGAACATAGAGAGATTTGGGCGCTTATAGCTAGTTAAATGATGTGTTTTATATGAAACTCCCTATATAACAATGCACATATACAATCATAAGTATATAATGGACATGGTTATAATGAACAAAAACCATGAATATATATGATAAAGACCTTTCAAAATTGGCCGTCGGAAACCTTCAAAATATGGCATATTTTCACAAATTTTCTAGAACAATCATTTGCACATGCATACGAATATATTTGAATATTATTGAATGAGTCTTTCTTGAAAATAATCGTTAGAATTGTTGTCAATTGATGTATTAGGGGATAAAATATAGAAAAATCGAATTGATCAATTTTTGTATTGCTTCTATTTATTATATCTCTATAAAATTTAATTCGATTTTGATCTTAAAGTACAAATTTGAGATATTCAGTCATTAAAAGAAAAGAGAACAGTAATTTTGAGAAATCGAACATTTATTCATACAAATTTACTTGCCTTCGGCAGCTTTCTTAGCAGCAGCAGCCTCTTGCTTAGCTCTCATGGCGGCAGCATCGCGCTCCTTTCTTGAGGCGAGATCGCCAGTGGCTCCCTTCTTTTCATGCTTAGCATTTCTTGCTTCAGCACGAGCCCGCTCACGTTCACGCTGTGGTCCGCGTGTCATTACTGATACTAATTCTAACAGCTTTTTGAATCAGAATTTAATTGTTCAGCCAATTTCGTTCGAAATCGGCCCATCAATACCATATTTCATTTTGCTTTACAATATTAATCTAAATATCGGAATAAAATTTAAAAACATCCGATGTGTAAACTTCTCAATTCTATAATCAAATGAAAGTACCTGAGATTATTTTGACCTCAAAACAATTTGATTTTATATTATTTTTTGATCTATTATTTTATATATTTTCAAGATTATCATAAATTATTTCAATTCAATTTTAACTCTCAGCGAAAAAAATATATAATTAAAATGCATTTTAAGCATTTGATCTAATTTGATAGCATTTTTTTTGTAATAAACAGAAATTCATCAAAAGTGACAGCTCTCAATTTTTTGACATTTGTAAATTCTAAATTGAATGAGAAAAATGAAATAATACTAAGCATAATACAATATTCTAGATTTAACTATTTCATATGGTTTTATGATAGATAAGCATTATATTCCCACTCATTATATTCGTAAATTTTGAGGTTTATCCTTCGCTTTTAAGATCATTGAATTTGATTTTTATATAAAATAGTTATATATTAGAAAATAATATGAGTTTATGTGATATTATTTTTCAGAAGATTTTGTGTTCTTCTTCAAAATTTTATTTTTTTATTAAAAAGGATCTTTACAAAATATACATTTACTTTAATTAATATTTAAAAACGTGCTCTATCAAAAGTTCCAAAAATTCAATATTTTAGCTTTTCTGAGGTGTCACTTTTGATGAATTTCTGTTTACAACATTTTCAAAAATATTTTCATTTTTGATCAAAGGTAGTCTCACGAGAAAACTGACGGTAAAAATTCGATGAAACCAGGTGCATTGTATAGTACATATATGTGGTAAATAAATGTCGATTAGCTTTGTAAAAAATATCCCACAGTTTTTGAGATCTTGAAAACGGCCATTCAAAAAGTCGAAAATTTTCGCGAGATGTTAATGGGCAAGACAGTTTTTCGACAAATAAATCGTAAACATGGGAATTAAAATAAGGCGTTATATTACATATATGGTAAAGAATATGGATGTGAAGAGCGTTAGTAGAATGGAAAGACTTTGAAATTTTAAAAAATTTATCTGGACTAAAAATTATTTGATTATAAAAAACATATTATATATCAATTGCTATATAGAACTATCATAACAGATTTTGGAAAAGCCGCAAATCCCCAAGTTGGAGAATTCATTAAATACTAATTATTCAGCTTTTTATCAGAAAGGAAGGTAGTGTAGTGGTCGGGAACACTATGCTCTTTTTGAATCTAAAAGGCAACTGTTCAAATCATAACATCTTTGTTTTTTTTTCTTATTCTGCCATTATTGTTTTTCCTTGTTATGATTCAAATTAAAAATATTTTAGTAAAGGTATTTTGGACATCATTTTTTCACATTGTCTCAATGCAAATGTTTGAAAATTTTGTAGGCAATATGACAACTCTTTCAACATTTGTTCTCTTTTATTAACTCAAACAGATTTATGATCTAATTTCATGCCTTCGAAGACATTTAAACCATCTTCAACATAATTTATTGACAAATTGATAACAATTACTCATGAATGTCGTAGATTTAATATCCTGTCACTCAGCAACAAATTCGGGTTCAATAACAAAGCTCAGTAAAAACTTTACAGAAATTCTCCAATTTATTTTAGTGTCTTTTTGCGTCATTACGGCTGCATTTTCTTCTGCATCTGAACGCTGTGTTTGGAAGAAGACGAAATACAGAAACTTTCAACACAAGTAATCAGATTTTCTTGTCTTTCATGTTAAAATGCTTCATCTCGCTAGGTATACGTCATTTATTGGATGGATTGTTAGCTTTGTGTCCAAATAGCAAAAAAAAGTATTAATTTAAATTTCGCATTTTGCATAAGTATACGCTTTAATTTATATCAAAACAGATTTAGATAGCTTAAAACAATATAGTTTACTCATAAATACATCTTGATAATTCACTTCTTCAATTTTCATAATCTTATATCCTGACCTATATCCTCTTATAAACCATATTTCTACTGAGATCTTCTTAAAGCATCTTTTTATCCCTATCTACGCCTCGAAACCCTATTTTTCCGGCGGAATATGAATCTTCGGGTCTCGCTGATTCGATTTCTGCAGTCAGATCGTAAAAATACCACTACATAGCCTGATAATCTCAATTTAAGTTCCTTAATTTTTTTGAAAAAAAAATTAAAACTCCCTTATCAAACATCATGCTCATTTTTACGAATTTCATTTTTCCTTTAAGTTTAAAATATACGCTTTTTAGCATGTTTATAATACATTTTCAATTTACATTTACATTTTTATTTTTGAATTGTTTATTTATATTTCCGTTTGAACAATAATATTTATTGAAAATTGTGAGAGAAACGGATATAATAAAAAACACCATACAACAAAATTCACTTTTTTTCATACTTACGCGGATCACTCCTTTTCGGCCCAATATGCCGGAAATGATAAAACTCTCAGATCTAGTTGCTAAGATCCAAACTCTCGACTCTCAAATCTACTTCCTCAGATCTTGTTGCTAAGATCTACTTCCTCAGATCTTGTTGCTAAGATCTAAACTCTCGACTCTCAAATCTACTTCCTCAGATCTTGTTGCTAAGATCCAAACTCTCGACTCTCAAATCTATTTCCTCAGATCTTGTTGCTAAGATCTAAACTCTCGACTCTCAAATCTACTTCCTCAGATCTTGTTGCTAAGATCGATCTATTATACTCAATTTTACTTAAGCAATATAGATCACCTTTATTATGATTCTCTTTATCTGTACTTGTTTAAAATTAAATTACATCATAAAGATCTAATTACAAATTATTTAGAATTTTGAAATAAAACCAGTATTTTATCAAATGCTTTGAGATTAATGCATTCAAACTTAAAAAAAAAGATATATTCAGATCAATTTCAATATTATTGATTTTTTAATGTAAAAACTATGTCTACATAGATCTCAAACAATTTTATTAGATACTCTTTTTCCCAATTTTTTTCAAAATCTCTTTTTACATATCAAAAATTGTATTTTTCAATTTCATTTTTATTTTTTCCATATTTTTTTTGGAATTTGGATATGCGTCCAAAGTAGTTATGTCATTAGAAAAATATTAGATATCTGAAGAGAAAATGATAACTTAGAGAGTTTTAAAGATTTTATTTTCGAATACAAATATAGACCTCAGAGGAATACATTCTAAATAAATTTGTATCTGAGGGTGAATAAATAAGAACAAAATTTAAAGGGTTAGCATAAATAATGTAGAAATTAAGATTGGAATTTAAATTTAATACAAAATTAAAGGGAATGAATTTGCGATTAGTAGGGTATGGCAAATGGATTGGGAAACATTGGTTACACATGAAAATTATCAGATGTAAGAATTTGGTGCAGATATTTTAAAAATGAGATCTGAGTGCTTAAACAATATCTCAAAATTCAAATTTTCCAAATGAAAATTTGGAAAATTCCCAAAATGCAGAATCAACTGATGATTTTCAATCATTAATAACGCCAATACAAGAAGATCATTTTCCTTCTGCCAACGAACTAAAACAATGGTTTGATATTGCCCATGATGTTTTAATTAGTCCGCCACCTGAGAATCAACATCCAGAAATTGATGAAGAAGAGACACAAAAAGCAATTTATCTATTACAAAACTTAGACTTTCCTAAGAAATAAAATTATTTAATTTATTCTGTTTGTTTTTTAATTAAACATGTATATTTATTAACATTTCCTTTTTTAATACCTTTCCAACTTCTATTAGTAACAAACACATAACTAATTTGAAGATTTAGCGTTATGAAGAAGTATCCAAGTAATAACGTCAATAATGCATTTGCGATAGGATATAATTGCACCAAAGGTTAAAACTTGTATAAAGAATGAAAAATGAAATTTAATACAATTTTTTTTCGAAAAAAATCCATGCTTGGCTAGATTTTCATAGTTATTGAATATGCATTACTGACATCTTGTAAAAGATGCCGATCAAGGCTTTCAAGATTGCTAAATTTCTCGATTAAAATTTACATTTTTTTTATTTGTGTTTAATTACATTTTACAGTTTGCAGACTTACATAAAATCCGCAACATAGTGGTTATTTAATATTTGCCCCACAGTATTGTAGTTTGAAATTTACGATAAGATTATAATTGATAAAGTAAGGTTTTGTCATTAATGCATCTTATAAACTTTCATTGATAAATATGGATAGATAAGTTCTGTGTTCAAAAGTAAGCATTTTTTAAAACGCGCAATTATATCAAGAACGACTATCATAAATTCATGAGTATCGATGATTTTCGTTTAGGATGGACTTAATCGGCTTGATTGATATACATATTTAAAATGGCATAGCTTTGTGCATGTTATGTCAAGCATTGTGCCAAACCAATTTAAAAATGAAACAAATTATTTTAAAGAAACTATATATGAACTATTCGAACACTTTATATTAATGTAGGGAGCTATAAATTTAAATATTCTAAAAATTTATTTATTTGTTAAGAGTTCGGAACAAATTTATTATTGAATATATAGGAAATCAAATAATTATGCATAATCGCATAAAAAAATGCTGAAACAATGAAAAGAAAAAAATAGTTGCCCAATAGAAAAAGTCGAACCCTTACCCCTACCCATTGAGTTATCCTCACTTTCAAGTTTCGATCGAAAAAAAGGTATTTAATCGCGTAACTCGCACCGTTTAGTCGTATTTCGAAGTTCTATATAGTATTAAAGATTAAGTTACATTATGTACAAAATAACTTTTTATTGTTATTTGATTTTGATAGCATTATTAGCTGAATATGAAAAATCTCGTAGAAATAATCATTTCATTCAGACATAAGTATTGGATTGTTTCCCAACAAGCATAATAACACACGTTTCATATTATAATTTATTCCATTTCTGTACAAAATTTAGATAACGATATCAAATAAAAAAAACTGTGGCATTTTTTTACTTCAAACTATCATGAAGTGTAACCAAATTGGGTGAGTATTCTTGCTATCAGTATGACATGAAAAAGTGAACGACAAAAATTGAAGATATTGTAGTTAACTCGGATTTTTTTAATTGCAAACACATCTATAATTTGTTTAAATATCATTTATTATATCAAAATTGAAAAATTCGTTTTTGGAAATCTTTGAATTTATGAGAAGTTCTACAAAGACACTTACAAATATAGCGTTTGCAATAAAAAGGCTCTTTAATCTTCTTCATCCTTGCTCAGAAACTTCTACTGGTTACCTTACGGGTAACCTGCAAAGCTGCTTCCAAGGCATCGGGAAAATAACGTATTTTCGTGAGACTACCTTTTTTTGATCCCATAATTTTTTCTCATTCAAATAACATTTAATTTGAATTGCCAAAATCGCGTATTAGCTTCAATGAAAGCTGTATTTCCCTCTGATTAAAAGACATTTGAAGTTAACCTGTTACAAAATTATTCATTGAAATAGCTGCTATTAAACCAAAAATAACGAAAGAAATTGTTATATGCTTGTAATAGATATTTTACTTTAACTAATATCAATCTTCAATAGCTCCACTACGATTTGAATCTCTTTTTCAAGATATTGATGAAGAAACTCCAGAAAATGTTTAAATCTGCATCCAGATTGACTGATTAATAAGAATAGTAAACTTTAATTTCAGAAATGATTATTATTTTTATGAAGAATTAGCATTTATTCAGAATTAGAACTAATATTTAGATAGTATGAACAGTACTTATATGGTTTCAAGCTGTAGTTTGATATATTCAACTTCTGAAATCAATATTGGAAATTCTAAACGTCTACAAAATGCAAAAGAGGCAAAAATCACCGACAACTAATAAATTTGTTTATGTTGTTCTGGAAGATGATTCCTCCAACAAAAAGAAAGTTCATATTGTTAATGATATTGATGTTTTTTTGAAATCTTGTTGTCAAATATTTAATAATCCAAACTTACAGCGAATCCTAAATGATGATGGAGAGACAGTTGAAGATGGATCAGAGTTAATACCAGAAAACACTTACTATGCAACAGAAATTTCATCAGATTTTGTTCCTATTGAGCAGGCAACAACAGATTTAACAGCTAATATCGAACAGAAGTACGAATTATTCAAAGTACCAGAAAATGATATCAAAAATAAACTTAAAAAAGCTAAAGTAGAAGCAAAAGAGAAAAAGGCATTAATAATTAAATCTAAAATACAAAAGATCGAAGCAATCAAAGCCAAAGAAAAAGAGAAATCTTCCACAGTTATTTCTTCAAAGTTTTCGGTCTGTTCTCGTGCTAGCAGCAAAAGAAATAGTAAATTTTCTCAATTTGAGCCAGAGGAATTCAACTCAATGTCAGAAAGTTCTGTTTCTGAACCTGTTGACGATTCTTTATCAATGAGTGTTGTTTCTCAAAGAATTAGAAGCAGATTCGGATCAGATACCGGATCTGTCGTGAGATCTCGAATAGACAGCCAAAGAAGAAGTGTTTTTGGCTTGAGTGCAACTGGTGGTGCTTCGCAATTCAGTCTTTCAAAACAAGATATACTAAATACTTGCATGCCTCCTGATTACGGCATTGAAATGGCAAAAGTTCCTGATGACCTTGTAAATAGAGAAGTTGAACAAGCTATTTTATGGCAAAAGAACGTTAGTCAGATGTTATTTTTCAATCGTAAGAGTGAATCTCCATTTGACCCATTAAATGATGGTCTCGCATATGATACTTTGGCCAACCATGCTCTCCTTGTTGGACCAAGTAACTTGCATCACATTCTTAAAGTTAATATCGTCGGACCACCAAATTCAGGCGTTCCTTCTTTAATGAGATCATTTGCCAAATTATATACAGCTCAATTAGTTGCTGCCGAAACCTGGAAGTCACATTTTCTTTTTGGATATGATGCAAAAGAGTTAGTTCCGCTTATTAGAGAACCAGCAAAGCTCTATAAAAAGATGCTTGACTTAGTTTTGAATGCATTATCTGCTCAGAAACCATCCATTTCCCAATATATTCCTCGCATCAGAAAACAAATGTTATCAATTCTTGACTTTGAAGTTCCATGCAAAGGTTTGCATCCATTCCATGATATTGACATTGCTGCCAGATTATTTGGAGAGACATGGCGCAATGACGAAGCTCTCGAAAACTGGCTTACGACCGTAGTTTCATTACCATCAATTATTTCTTCTGCTGTTGGATTCCAGAATCTCACAGTTTTTGTTGATAATCTTGAATCTGCTGATGAAACAGTTAGAGACATCCCTCCATTTACAGAAAGCCACAACAACTCGAATTTCATTGAATTCATCAAGTATTCCTTGACAAGATGTAATTTTGTCATCAGCTGCAACAAGTTTAATTTACTTTTGCCAACCGATGCATATGGAATCGATATAACACGCGGCATGGAAACAATTTCAACATGTCAAACACCTCAAGACATGCTTGAAGGTGAAACACAAAGCATTGCACTCCTCATTGCCAATGAAAGCAAACCAATAATTTTAGATGATAATGTTCATGGAGGAATTCCTAAATTTTTGGATCAGTGGGAAAAGACACAAAGAGCGCTTTGCAAATACGAACGCGTTAAGAACATGAAAAAAGAAGTCTGCTATTTAGAAGCACTCGAGGAAGCACAGAAACTTGCTGATCTTGTCTTATGCAGAACCGATGGACAAAAGGTATCAGTGCAGGAAATTGGAAGACCGTATCCTCCTAAGTGAATTTTATTTGTTTTGTTATTTGTTTATTAATAAACTAGATTCTGACAAATCAAACCTATCACTTTACAATAAACAAGTATAGTAAACTTTAAATAGTATCCCAAAGGCAAGTCGCTTGGCCGGACCGTGGACACCTAAGTCAAAAGGAGTGACTTCTTCTTTCACATGGTGCAAATGTCAATGAAAGTGATAACGAATATGGAAAAACCGCTCTTCATATTGCAGCTGACAAGAATAGTAAAGAAATAGTCGAACTTCGTCTTTTACATGGTGCAAATGTCAATGAAAAAAGTAAATCTGGGGAAACGCTCTTTATAATACAGCCGATGAATTTCTTTTGAAATAAAAAAATTATTTTCATTAATTTAAATTATTATAAACTTTTTTAATGAAATCAACAATAAAAGTTGCAAATCTCTCTCCCTCTCTCTCCCTCTCTTTAAAAAAAGTAAATATACGGTCATCATAATCTAAATTTTTGATTCGATTGTAATTTTTATTTAAACTCTATTCCAAACTCGAATGAAATGGAAATTGTCAGAAATGAAAATCGATGAAATGTCAAGTAATTAGATCAATTATATGAACATATTTTTGATAAATCCGGAATGCGAAAAATTTGAATATCGAAAAGCGGTTGTGAGATAAATGAGGTCAATGATCGATAGATTTGAAAGATTTACATCGTAAATATAAAATAAAATGCAAGTTCACGTTCGTGTTGTCGAAGCTAAGGAACTGCCAAAGATGGACACATTCGGAAAAACTGATGCTTTTGCTATCCTTCAGTACAACGCCAACCGCAACATCCAGAAAACAAAAACAATCGAAAATGATTATACACCAGTTTGGAACGAGGAATTCCACTTCACAGCCGAAGATTTGTCCATTGATACTCTTATAGTCTTCTTAAAGGATGACGATTCAGGCAGCAATGATGATCCAATTTCTATGCTTAAGATCCCAATGAACCAATTCCAAGTTGGCCAGGTCGTTGACAGATGGCACTCTTTGATCCCTGTTAAGGGTGTTAAGAAGGGTGGCCAGATCCGCCTTGTTATTCACATCGCTCCAGCTGGCGCAGCTCCATTTGTTGCTGCATAAGCAATCTGCTGCGCAAGTACTGGTGATACTTGATGTAAATTATCGAGATTAATCTTATTCTTGAAATAAGATAATAAAATCTTTTGCTTCAAAATAATCGTATATTATTTCTTCTTTTACCTACAAATCTCTTTCAACTTCCCAAATATCTGGGCTAATTTTTTTTAACTCTGATAAAAAAAGCAATAGAATTTCTCAGAAACATATGTCTTGAGATATCTTACTAGATTTCAACTAATTTATTTTGTCTCTAGATCAATATTTCTCAGAAACTCTTCCTATTACGATCAAAAATTATTTCGAAATAAATCATGTAAATCAAATAATATCATTTAGGTATGAAATGTCAACACCAATCCAGTTGCATGGTTCAGCATTATTAATCATCTGAAATGCTCAAATAAACTATTAGATTCAATATTAAATAGGAAATTGGTGAAAATAAGACAGTATGCACTTTTCTACTTACGGAAGAGCAGAGAGTAAATGAGGTTCTGGGGAAACATTGAATGATTGCTTGAATTCTAATTGAATTGGGATAGAGAGTAAGATCTTTTACTGTTTGGTTGAATTATCGCATGTATTACTATGCGATAAATCAAATTAGACACAACTTCGTTTAGTGATCATTATAAAAAAAATCTTTACAAAATAAATAAAAAATGGCGAGTGCTCAAATTGCATGGGGAGAAAGAATGAAGCAACTTCCTTGGGTTGGCGATATCACTCGTGAAGAACTCGCAAAGCATAATACACCTGAGGACTGCTGGTGCTCATACAGAGGTGAAGTTTACAATATGACACCATACCTGGCCATGCATCCAGGAGGTCCTAAGATTATATGCTCAGTTGCTGGTGGCGATATGGGCGAACTTTGGATGAAGCACCATCCTTACATTTCCCCAGCTTTGATTGCTAAGGTTAAGATCGGCAGACTTGTCAAATAAAACTATTGCAAATTCAATTATGATATATATATACATATATAATATTGCAGGTATAATTCCAACGTAAATATATTAACAATTTATCCAAACAATCATTGAATTAATTATAAAAAATGCGTTCTTTACTTATTTTACTTGTAAAGCACTTTCAATAATATCCACCTTTACTTCTTCATTTTTAGATTTTTTTTTAGATATATATAATTTTATAGGGAAGGTAAGTTTGCTGTGAATATCCAATAATAAAAGAATAGATATGGTAAATATTACAAAATACTCTTCTACATCATGATGTTGAAGTTAGATATCAAAAAGCCAAACAGCCTGTTTCACATAGTGCAAATATGAAATAGGTTTCCAAACAAAAATTTCACTCTTTTTCAATCAATCGAATCTAAAATCTTGAAATTTTAATTTCAATTTACCCTAGATATAGTTTTAATATAGATAAATAATGTTTAATTTTGCTAATGTATAAATTAACATTTATTCTTGAAGATAAAATATCTATTAAGAGATTTAAAGAGGATGTGACTCTCTTATGTATCTTTGGGCAGAGAACTTCCTCTTAATAACAAGGTAAAGAGGAAGAAGGACAGAAAATGCAACAATGTTGGCGAAAATAAGAGCAGTAAATGGAATATTTTCTTCTTTGACGATTTCTACATCAGAAATGTGAGCAAGCATTGCACCAATGGCCCAGCTAAGGTCAATACCATTGATATCATCAAGTTTCTGAATTTCAGCGTTTTGATCGTTGAAATTGAAACCTTTTGTAAGAAGAACGTATTGGTAAGCTGCGCAATAGCAGTATGTATGAGCGTATTCGAGAGATTCCTTGCCCTGGAGCTCTTTTGAAATGTCTTTCCAATCTCTAGCGCAATATTCTGTTCCTTTTGTCTTTAGATCGGCAAGAGATGATGTAGTCGGTAATCCGAAGAATGCATTTGCGAAATAGAGGTTGGCCATGCCAACTAATTTGTTGATATTTGAAATTCCTGGAATGTTAACGGTTTCGAAGTGAGGACCATCAATTAAGATCTTCTTCGCAATCTTAGAGCATTTCTCGAAGTCGCCGGTGCCATGAACTGTAATTGTATCCTTTCCTACGATTGTATCTGTATATCCCTTAGGGAAGCAAGGGTTTGAGATGTTGTCAGAGTCAGTAACTGCGGAAATTGCTTTCGTGATGGAGCGTGATGAAACGTCAACGCCATATCCAAGATATGAATGGGAGAAAACACGAATTCTCTTTGTACCAACAGTAACGAGTAAGGATTCTTCATACTTGTCGTTCTCATTAACTTCAACAGCTATTTGGAATGAGGCACCGCCTAAATCCATGGCTCCGTAGTATGGTTTATTTTCTTTGAAGTTTCCAAGAAGAAGGTTGACAGAGAGCCAGCCGTAAACGCCTTCCTCGACACCATTGATGACACGAATGTTCTGTCTAGAAATCTTGAATTTGTAGTTTTTGCTGATGAAGCCGTAGACTTGGTCGCAAACTTGATTTTGCTGATTATTTCCAAGTAAACGCATACCAGCAGTAGCAAAAACGTACATTGGTGTGGAACTATAGAGTTTTGCAGGAACATATTTTTCGGCAAACTCACAGATTGGTTTGAAAATCTCTTCAACGAGTTCTGGTTTCTTAGCACTGTCAGCTAAGCGTATTTTTATCTTTTTCTTTAATGGCTTGCCGTTTTCATAGACAGGCTTGAGATCTGGAATTTCTGAAGAGGAATCCCATGTATATACAAAAGCACGGGTTCCTGAAGAGCCTGCATCAACCATGATGCCATACTTGGCTTTGGATAATGAAGTTGCAAAGAGAAGGCTTAACATTGTCACTTTTTTCAAATTTCAATTTAATTTTCCAATAAAATAAGCATCAAGACATGCATAATCACATCGAACAAAGAATAATTACAAAATTTCGGGACATTTGGTTTCAATATATTTTGATTTTTTTGTTCATAAGTTCATATGGGATGGGAAGCGCATCGTAATTTCAAATTGTATCATGATTCCATTCAAATATTCATTGAGAGAGCATTCCAAACAAAAAATAATATTTAATAAACCATTATATCGATAAACGTGTATTTCCATTATGTCATAAAAGCAGTCCACAAAAGCAAAGGAGTTTGCAGATGAATGCTTAAAAGAATTTGCAAATTGATTCAAAAAAAAGTTAAATATTAGATAATTGTGTTAAAAGGTAATTATTGGTTACATATTGAAAGAAAAATAAATAACAAAAGTAAAAAATAAATTTCTTTATTAGTATTTTGCAAAATAATAAATAATAAAGCACTTTCAGAAAGCAATACTAGTAATGAAAAATTTCCGTAAAGATATAAATTCTGTGTGTTAGTTTTTTTTAAAGAAAAAATTGTTCAAAATGAGCTCTGTTGTGGTTGCAACATTCATCAGTATAAGCAGATGGCCGTTGGTAAATTTCTTCGTAGCTCATTTTTTGAACAATTATGAATACATACTAAACTTGAATGAGATGCAAAAATAATGTTGAGCCAAACCGTTAAATTTTCAATGATAGATTTTTTTTTGTGGATGGGTGTAAATGCGTTTCTGTTTGCGCGTGCGTGTGTACGTGCGTGTGATATTATATTATCGAAACTTTTAAACCCAAAGGTACCTTTTCCTTTTGGAAATTAAATAACACCTTAACCCGGGTGAGTTTTCATGCAGTCATAAAGATTACACCTTTGAGAGCTTTACATGGCATGTGCCAGCAAATGGAAAATAATTGAGAAGATTTTACATGACATTTGCCGGCAAATGCTATGTAAAACTCTCAAAAGAGTAATCCTTATGGCTGCATGAAAACTCACCCACGTTATGTGATTAATTTCGTTCTTTGATTGTCATACAAAAATCGAGGGAATAAATTGACTTAAAAGATATTAAGACAGATTTTGATATTTTTGAGTTAATTTATGTTCTCAATATTCACCTTGCCGTAACGAAAATGATACATGTCTCTCACATACTTTTAGATATGCATAGTCTCTCTGTTAACGAATCAGTTTATATGGTCTCAATGAGATTTTTTTAGAATAAATTGCCTGAAATATGAATATTTAATTGTCTGATACATGGGTAATATCAGTCATTTACCATTAGTTATATTAAAACAAAACTAATATTTATTAACAAACAAATAAAATTAAAAGATTGGATGAGTAAATAATCTCCACATTCCGTCTTTTCCTACAGTTAGAAGTGATTTCGGATCATTCTCAATAAACTTTGCTCTTAGTATAGGAACATTGTGGTTCTTTAAAACAGAATAAATTCTGAAATCAAGAAGACTCCAAATTTTCATGGTTTGATCAACGGATGATGTCATTAGAAGATCATCATAGATAGATACAGATGAAATCGGAGCCAGATGTGCGCCAATTTTCTTAGATCTTGTTAAATTTCGTAAATCCCAAACAATAACAGTATTATCATAAGATCCTGTTATGCAATGGAATCCAGTATCGAATGATGAGCATGTTATCTGCCGAGAGTGTCCCATCATTGTTTTAATTGCGTGACAATTTCTTAAATCCCACAATTTTCCGACAGAATCATTGCCGCCGCAAAAAACAAGGCCACCATCAGTATGAGAAGAAACTGCTGTCACTGATCCATCGTTGGATTTCATTGTAACAATGTTTGTTTCTCTTTCTATGTCAATAACATTAAAAGTGCCATCACTCAAACCAGCAATGATATACCTCTGTGATGGATGAATGTCCATTGACGAAATTTCTGAATTCATTGCGATACAACTTTCTGAATTTGGAGATTTCCAAATTCTGATGGTTTTATCGGCAGATGATGATATTATTATATCGTCTGTAAGAAATTTAGCATCTATAATTCGATTGGAGTGGCCGTTGAAGTCACAAATTTTAGATAAATTTGAAAGATTCCATAATGAGATATTTCCTGATCTAGAACCTATTAAAAACATGTTATTACGACAATATAATGATGAAAGTGGACGAGTATCTGCATGATCGCAAGCAGTGACTGAATAATCTTTGAAATTAGATCCTAATTGATTTGTAGTATTAATTCTTTCTTGATCGATTTGTCTTTCAGCTTGCATACGTAAGTGTGCTCGAGGAATTGAAAAAGAGATTAAAAATTTCTTCATTTCGCTAATTTCATTCCCTCCTGTATCATATTTTGGAATAAAACTTATTTCTTCCTCTTCATCGAATACATCTGTTGCTATTCCTTGTGCTAAAACTCTTTTAAGTCTTTCTCTTCTGTCAGCTGGATCTTCTCCGAACAAACAAATTGGTTCTCCAACTTTTCTAAGCATTTTCATGATATCTGCATCATCTGTTGGAACTGGGATTTGACTCATCTTCTTCTTAAGAAGATAATTTTCATATTCACTTCCAACATGAGTCATAAAAAAATAAATATGAATTTTAAAGATCATATATGTTAATATCATAACATATAACACATCAAATGTTTCAAAAAAACTTCAATTTTTGATGATTTTTGATGAATGAGTTACTATCAAATTTAACAAAACCAAATGTAAGCCAAAAAGAGATCATGCACACAACCTTTGACTTGCAACTGATAGTAACCAGAGAAATTGCGAAAACAGATTCAAATTTGAATGAAATTGCAAATTTAATTTTTGATCTATTAAATAGAACTGATCAAATTAATGAATATGCACTCTTTCCATTCTTAAGCATAGTTCCACAAATATTTTACAAGCTAGATTCTGATAAACAAACATTTTTACAAAAATTAATCGAAATTGATGTTCCAATTCATATTCTAATACCTTTATTTCGATCTCTATCAGAAATAAATCTTAACAATGCATCAACAGAATCATATTTCAACAAATTAAGTCAAGTTATTGAAAATAATCCAAAATCAGCTTCAAGTTTACTTAATATCATTCTTTTCTTCTATGAATACAAGAAATTACCAAAATGTGCCGATTTAATCTGCAAAATTTTTCAATATTTAGATTCAAATGAATTACCAGACTGTTTTTACTTAATCAGACAACGTAGATCGCATTCATTCGACCTAGTATCTGCAATCACTAGGCACATATCCTCATATGTCAACAAAAAAGATGCAAAATTTAATAATTCAGATTTACTACTATTATTTATTATTTCTAAGATCGACATTGGCCAACCATCTGCTCTCATACGTAAACTGATTACAAAAGATGAAAAATTTCACTTATCTTTGGAAAAATTTAATATGAAAGTTTTTTCACCATCAGATTTAATTGATTGTTTTTGTGGTATATGTTCTGATAATCTAAAGAAGCAATACATAACTATTGTAGCTCGATTACTCTATCAATGCTTTGTTTCGACTGAATACAGAGAAATTATCACTTATGCTTTATACAATGAAGATGAAAATAGAAATTTATTTGATGCTACAATCGAAGCTTTTGAATTATGTTCAAAAAATTCGAAAAAATTGATTTTAGACAAAATTGACGTTATTTCTATTTTGTATTCTGTTTCTAAGAACGTTTGTGCTTTAATCATTGGCTCTATATTGCGTGTAGCTGCTTATTCACCAATAACTATCGATTCTGCAATAATTTATTTAAAAAAATTGTTGATGAGACCGGTACATGCAGAAAAAGCGATCAAATGTTTCTGTTTATTATATGAAAGTATAGAAGGACCTCAAAATGCTCAATTTCGTCTTCAAATTATTGATATTTTATTTCAAATTTTTGATGAACCTTATTTTCGCTTTAAAATATGCAAGGAACTTCGTAAAATCGATATTAATCATTTTGATAACGAAATAAAGCAAAAGATCCTTAAATATTGCGAAAAATTTGAAAATAATATTCATGAACTGAATAGCTTAGTTAGTTTGGACCAAAATCAGTGTATTATTATAAATGATACACCTGCAGCTCTCCTTGACTTGTTAATTTACTTAGGAAAGGATCCAAAAGAGTATTTTCATCTTATTGAGTTAAAAGACCGTATTTTTGAAGATGATCAGTTAGAAACGATTAAGTTTGCACTAATAGTTGATATATTTGCTGTTCTTGCTCCATTTAATGAAGATTTTTTCAAGATTTTTTGTGAATTTTCCATTTCTCTAACAAAAAAGACTCTTTGTAACCAAGATATCATTAAAGAATGGTGTACATTGAGTCTGAACAGAGATTTTGCAGAAAAACAACTAATTAAGGCGGAAAAGGTTTCATTTATTAATAATATCTTTTTAATTGAATCATTGACCGACCACCAGATATCCAATGAATGTTACAATGCATTATCCCAATTATTTATATCAGATGACTTGAAAAATGAAGAATTTTCAATTCTTACGAAAGAATTAGCTAAATATGGAGTATTTGATCCAAGTGAATATCATGCTATATATAAGGAGCTCATTCTTGGTATTCTTCTTGAATCTGATGCTTCTTTCAAGTTAGATTCAAATCAAATAATAAATCAACTGATAAGCAGCCTAGAAACGGGTGATTTATCAACTGAAGCATTACTTTCATATGTTTCTCTCCTGTCCACGCAGATACCAAGCGGAGATCTAGAGATTTCAGCAAGATTATATGATTTAATCAAAAAACTTGAATTTAACAACACAAAAGTTGTTAGTAAATTCATAGAATTGCTTCTTCTCAAATCTCCAAGGGACATGGCCATACAATATTCATATGAAATTTTAAATTCATGGGAAGACAAAGGAGAATTCATCGTCAACAAGCAAAAGTCGAAGAAATCAGCAATGTATGTCTCAATGTGCAAATGTTTGGCCGCAAGAGCCATAGCTGAACAAAAAATTTCCGATGATTTATTAGATCTTTTGTGTGAAGTACTTGAGCCATCAAATATCATCAGTACAGCATTTGTTTTAAATGCAACACTCGAATTGATACTAAATTTCATTAAATTACTTGAAAATCCTCCACCTCAAAATTTCGAGAAATTTAGAAATTTAGTTTATAGTTTTCTCTCAAGATTTCGAAGTGAAAAGGGCTCCAAGCTTAGTGGATACATCGAATCCCTTCTTACTGTCTATGTTTCCAACCTAAACCAAGGAAAACTTCCGAAAGAGAGAAAGAAAAACCAAACAATGAATCCTTACTCAAAACAGAGGTGGAGATCAAGGAACAAATGGATTGATCAAGCCCTCAGAGAGCAGAGTTCTTCTGATGAGGATAATTATGCTGATTTAGAAGGATTCATCGTTGAATCCGAAGACGAAAACTCAAAAGAAGAAAAAACATCAGAAAATGAAGAATTTGAACCAAATAAAGAAGAGGAAGAAGAACTAGATGAAGAAACTCAAAAGAAATTGTATGAAGAAGCAATGAAAAGAGTCCTTCGTTACAAACCAAAATTTGGTAATATGTTTGATAGAGTTGTATAAAGATATATATAGTTTTATATTTGTTTTTTTATATTTATTATAAACTTTTCCAGGATCTACAAAATAATATAATTAAGGGTGAACATACGAACCTATGACATGTCTATCAAAATGTCGATAATATGCTTGAAGAGACACATAAAATAAAAATCTTTGTCAATAAAAGTGAGAGAATGTCAGAAAAGTGGTAAAAAATACAAAACATGTTTATTCGACTGAATTAATATAATTATATAAATTAGTAGTAAATTCTACAATACCTAGAATCATTTGTTTAAATGGATCATCGATTTCTTTCAAAATTGTATCAAAATCTTCAAAAATTTCGCAAATCCAATCTCTAAACTCTTCATCACTTTCTACAAATTCCTTGAATTCTTGCTTTCCTGTTAATATGCAATATTTATCAATTCTAAAAGCGATATCGAGTGTCAGCAAAATAATATTGGATGTTTCATTAGGAACATAACTATGATACCTTGTAAGGAAGTAAATAAAGAAATTTGATTGTTCAAAAAGAGAATTAAATTTTTCGGTTGATAATCTTTGAATTCTAGCTAAAATATCTAAAAATACAACACGTTTCTTTTGATAGCTGAGCGATTCTATTAATTCTACTGTTTCATCAACATAATTTACAGATTGTTTAATTAATATCAAAATACAGCTCAAAATTGATGTGTATTTATCAATAACATGATCAAAACTACTTGAACTCTTGATACATTGAATGAATCCCCATAAATTTAAGTCATCATTTGAAATATAACTTTCAAATTGACTGTAATTAGATAAATTGATAAGAACATTAAAGGCTGGTATTAGTGGATGAGCTTCCACGCGTAAAATAAAGTGTTCATCAAATAAATTTAAAATTAAGGGAATTATTTCTTCTTCAACGACTTTTGATGCAAAATTTATGTCATATCCAACAACTACAGATAGAAATTTGAGCATTGATGTTTGAACAATGACATCTGCTCGTTGTAATAAAATCTTAGAAAAATGAATGATTTGTAAGTAGTCATCGGTATTCAAAGGTATATCTGATGGATTTTGGATATAAAATGGAAATATTTCGGTAAGAAAACGAAATAATGTATCAAAATTTGTAATTGACCATGTTTTATAGTTTTTAGGATTAAAATTAGAAACTGCTTCGATAATATTCTTAAACAAATTCGTTTCATATACAAGATATCGATAACAATCCGGAGAAATTTTGAAAAATCGTGTGAATATGTTGAATGCAACAGTAGTAAGCGGAATACTTGCTATGTTAGATATTGTATCGTTTTTGCTTAAAATTTCTAACTTACTTGGAAATGAAATCTGGTATGCTAAAATTTTTAAACTTGCAAGGATAATATTTGGAGCTGTAACATGTGGATCATAAATCGTATACTCTAGTTGTAATTCTTTGAGATTTGGATCAAGGCATGCCAAATTAAGTAATTTAATAAAAACTTCATCAGGAATTTCGAGCTCAGGATTGAATTTTAGAGCTTGAAGAACAGAGATTGATCCATCTAAGATGTCATCAAATCGATCTGACATTAATAAATTTATTCCATCATTGAATTTAGCTTCAATAAACTGTTCTATGCGTTCGTTTTCTTCTTTTTCTATCATATCTTCTTCATAAGCTTGATTACTATTTGTTTCCGAAATGTCTTTATATTCCATTTGTCACTTTTTAATTTTATTCTAATCATATAGTATTAAAACAATACATGTGATGATGGTATTATCGCTGATGATGTGGTGTAGCTAAAAATAAGCAGATAGTAATTTAAATATCATTAATTCCCTTAATTATTTGAAAATATAGTGTTTTTGAGTATCAAATTGTACAAATTACGATAGTTAATACTAAATACTTTGTGCTCTCCCATATTTGCCATATATGTAATAAGCTGATCATTAATTAGTTGTTGAAACTTGTAAAAACATATGTAATTATCAATTGTATTAGATATGTTTACATAATGTGCAATATATTCTCCTTTAATAGAAAGATTATCACTGAGAACAATCTTGTCTAAAATTTTCAGGTTGTTTTTTCTTTGAGGAACGAAGCATTCGGCATGATTTATCATGCATAATATATGGTATGAATATAATCTCCAAACACCTAAATTGGAATACAAAAATAATTCAAATATTGCCATTTTGGAGCAACGTTTTTTATTATTTTAGTTTATCACATGTTATTATTATAAATGGTCAAAACACATTAAAATCAAATTAGCTCTCAAATTTTTGACAAAAACATTTATGTCAAGTGTTTTCTTGAGTTTCGGTCCCAAGAGTGGATTTCTCATTGGGCATACATTGAATAGCATGATTGAGTGCCAAGATTCACCACCAACATGGTATGCTGAGTCAATGACAGGTTTGCTTCCAAATGTTGTTTTTTATGACAAAGCAAAGAGCGTTCACCTCTACGAAGACTACAGTTTAGATTTCGAAAAAGACGGTGCACCACAAAATATTCAAAAACTTCAACTTCCTAAAGATGGTCCGGTTCAAATGCCGCTTTTCAAGCCAACTCCTTTCATTGAGTACATCAAGAAGGGTGGAGCAACATTTTTACCACTTGATCAGCCAAGGCCAAACTTCAAACTTGAAGAATCAACAATTGCTTGGTGTGACATTGTCAATTTCAACATGAGCAGACGTTCATTTGTCGAAATTCCTGGTACAGATCTCGAACCTATGACAACATATGCAAATGGCTTTGCAAGAGCTTCAGATACAGAAAATTACGACGATTATACAGATCCTATCAGGCGTCAGTTCGAAAATTGTGACAGAGTAGGATCTGTTATCTTCTCAGCCGACAGAAACAATGGTTATGGTGGCTTCTGCGCCAAACTTTCCGAATATGTTCAAGAAGAAACACCAAAAGCTGTTCGTTTTGTCTTTTCAACTGCCGAAGACGTTCCATCAGACGAAATTGCATGCAATGCCTCACTCGCAACCGCTGCTTTTCTTGAATTTGCTGATATCCACACACTTTTAGTTCCTCCGGCCAATTTACCAAACATTATCGACCAAACAAAGTACAAAGCCGACAACGACTTCTCTAGAATGGCCTTACTTTCAATGCCATTAACAACCGCATTAATTCCTTTACTTAACAACACATGCCATGCCAGGAAATACAAAGATACTATTGCTCCAAGCAGTATCCTCAAGTTTACTTCCTTAGATGCTTGTTTCCCGACCTTCGATGAGCTAAATCACTTTTCCTTCCCAGCAGAAGACAGAATCCTTACATCTTTCGTTACTACATGCGGTACAGGAAACGCTGCCCCAGAAATTGTCGAGAAATTCAAACCAGATTCCCCATATTTCTTCGACCACGCTTCATCGTCACAACCGTTATTTATCGGTTTCAATGCTCCCCACTTTTTCAAGGACGATTATGTGACACGCGAGGGAATGAAGCCATCTCAGAAACCAGCCTCCCTCAGCGATGCGGACTACCAACGCCTTGTTGCTGCAGGAGTAATCAAACCGAAAGTTGGTGTGAAATGCGAGTACATCAGAGCTCTCTCTGCAGCGGCAACAATCTCTACATCGAAGTCTCTCGCTGTTCAACTTGAGAACACAGTCAATTTCATTCGAGGCGCTCCTGCAATTCAACACGACATTGCACAGTCTGATTGCTCGCAAATGATTGAAACAGTGTTGAATATTGTTGACGGCCTGAGAGCTGATGAGTAAAATTGTTTATTTTATTATTATTTGTTTTAAAAGAAAAAAATTTTTAAGGGTGCACTTACCACTTTCTGAAACCCTCAGATAAATATCAACATGTTTAATGGCAAAAGAGTATATAACATCGATGTTAGGAAATATTATAATAACTTTTTCTCGATCAAAAATATTCCCTATTGGGATATAAAGATATGTTGGTATTATCTGAGGGTTTCAGAAAGTGGTAGGTGCACCCTTAATAAAAAAAATTTATAGTGGGGTGCGTTAGCGGAAAATGGTGCGTTGAGGAAAATCTGACACAATTTTTTTTCTTTTTGAGTATTTTTTTCTTATTTTCCTCAAGCTGTGCTCTTTAAAAGTGTGATATTATATGAGCATATATGCTATACTATATGTGTAAAATGTATGTATTATATACATGCATGTTTTTATTAATTTAATGTGAAGATCTCGAAATCTTTGATTGCAAAAAAATCTCAAGACTTGAAGCAGCTTGGAGTGAATACATATTCTTTACAGTGAGAGAGATATTTCTGCACTACATTTAGCTCTTCATCGCAACCCAGTGAGTCTCTGAAGTTATGTAAAATCCGAATTTTTTTACTTTATTCACAGACTAGTGAGAGCGACATCTCAGATCAGATAAAAACTATGATGTATAGATAATATATCTTGAGTGTGTTATATCTTCTGCAGTAATCACATTGCTATCAGTGTTATGTGTAGAGCTATATTGGAATATGTCAATTTTTGCATGTGAATTTTTTGATGCAGACAAATCCATAATACCTCCGAATAGGCAAAAAATAGTAATATATACGAATATGGTGGTGTGTGTAATATATGATTTATTAGGTTTAAATTGGTATTAGTCATATCTTATGGTGACATTTTTTCACATTTTTCATTATTAAAAAAATTCAAATTTTGTTTTTGATATTAATGACCAGTGCTTTTCTCTGATCAATTTCACCTGACAATATTATAAGTAATTAGTGTACATTATAATTATATTATTGTTTTCCCTTACAGGCTCAACTCCTCCGTTGAAATCCAAACTGCTTAAAAAATTTGACAATTTTTTTCTAGTTCTCATATTGAAGAGATATCACTATCTTGGTTGGGAAAGAGTGATATGATATTAATCATTATAATAAACAGAAGTTATAATTCACTGAAAGTATATGATGAGATGGTAAGTTTATAAAAATTAGTTTAGATATGTGAACTTTTAACGTTAAAAGTTCTGAAAATTTGAATGCTTGCAAACGATTTTATTATTTGTCAGTTGTAGCACCATGTTCAACTAAGAATTCGAAAATATTTGTTGCTTTAACATCGATGGCAATAGAAAGAGGGCATTTGTTAATATCGAGAGAATGCAATAAAACAATGATAAATATGAAAATAAAAAGAATGTAATAAAACAATGATTAATATGAAAAGAAAGAGAATTACATAAAACAATGTTAAATATGAAAAGAAAAAGAATTTCATAAAACAATGTTAAATATGAAAAGAAAGAGAATTTCATAAAACAATGTTAAATATGAAAAGAAAAAGAATTTCATAAAACAATGTTAAATATGAAAAGAAAAAGAATTACATAAAACAATGATTAATATGAAAAGAAAGAGAATATTATAAGATAATGTTAAATATGAAAAGAAAGGGAATGTAATAAAACAATGTTAAATATGAAAAGAAAAAGAATTTCATAAAACAATGATAAATGTGAAAAGAAAGAGAATAAGTTTCATGTTAACATCAGCACCATGATCAACTAAGAATTGGACTATTTCTATTGAATTCGCATTGATTGCAATACTAAGAGGGCATTCATTAATATCGAGAGAATTTCATAAAACAATGATTAAATTGAAAAGAAAGAGAATTCTATAAAACAATGTTAAATATGAAAAGAAAGAGAAATTCATATAACAATGTTAAATATGAAAAGAAAGAGAATTACATAAAACAATGATAAATGTGAAAAGAAAGAGAGTGTTATAAAACAATGATTAATATGAAAAGAAAGAGAATGTAATAAAATAATGATTAATATGAAGAGAAAGAGAATTCTATAAAACAATGAAAATTATGAAAAGAATGAGAATGTAATAAAACAATGATTAATATGAAAAGAAAGAGAATGTAATAAAACAATGATTAATATGAAAAGAAAAAGAATTTCATAAAACAATGATAAATGTGAAAAGAAAGAGAATTCCATAAAACAATGATTAATATGAAAAGAAAGAGAATTCTATCAAATAACGATAAATGTGAAAAGAAAGAGAATAAGTTTCATGTTAACATCAGCACCATGATCAACTAAGAATTGGACAATTTCTATCGATTTCACTTTGATGGCAATACTAAGAGGGCATTCATTAATATCGAGAGAATTTCATAAAACAATGATTAAATTGAAAAGAAAGAGAATTCTATAAAACAATGTTAAATATGAAAAGAAAAAGAATGTAATAAAACAATGTTAAATATGAAAAGAAAGAGAATTACATAAAACAATGATAAATGTGAAAAGAAAGAGAGTGTTATAAAACAATGATTAATATGAAAAGAAAGAGAATGTAATAAAATAATGATGAATATGAAAAGAAAGAGAATGTCATAAAACATTGATAAATACAAAAAGAAAGAGAATATCATAAAACAATGATTAATATGAAAAGAAAAAGAATTTCATAAAACAATGATAAATGTGAAAAGAAAGAGAATTCCATAAAACAATGTTAAATGTGAAAAGAAAAAGAATTTCATAAAACAATGATAAATGTGAAAAGAAAGAGAATAAGTTTCATGTTAACATCAGCACCATGATCAACTAAGAATTGGACAATTTCTATCGATTTCACTTTGATGGCAATACTAAGAGGGCATTCATTAATATCGAGAGAATCCAATAAAACAATGATTAAATTGAAAAGAAAGAGAATTTCATAAAACAATGATAAATATGAAAAGAAAGAGAATGCAATAAAACAATGATAAATATGAAAATAAAAAGAATGTAATAAAACAATGATTAATATGAAAAGAAAGAGAATTACATAAAACAATGTTAAATATGAAAAGAAAAAGAATTTCATAAAACAATGTTAAATATGAAAAGAAAGAGAATATCATAAAACAATGATTAATATGAAAAGAAAGAGAATGTAATAAAACAATGATTAATATGAAAAGAAAGGGAATGTAATAAAACAATGTTAAATGTGAAAAGAAAAAGAATTTCATAAAACAATGATAAATGTGAAAAGAAAGAGAATAAGTTTCATGTTAACATCAGCACCATGATCAACTAAGAATTGGACAATTTCTATCGATTTCACTTTGATGGCAATACTAAGAGGGCATTCATTAATATCGAGAGAATTTCATAAAACAATGATAAATATGAAAAGAATGAGAATTCTATAAAATAATGATTAATATGAAAAGAAAGAGAATATTATAAGATCATGTTAAATATGAAAAGAATGAGAACTCCATAAAACAATGTTAAATATGAAAAGAAAGAGAATGTAATAAAACAATGTTAAATATGAAAAGAATGAGAACTCCATAAAACAATGTTAAATATGAAAAGAAAGAGAATGATATAAAACAATGATAAATATGAAAAGAAAGAGAATGGTATAAAACAATGATTAATATGAAGAGAAAGAGAATTCTATAAAACAATGAAAATTATGAAAAGAATGAGAATGTAATAAAACAATGTTAAATATGAAAAGAAAGAGAATTACATAAAACAATGATAAATATGAAAAGAAAGAGAATGTAATAAAACAATGTTAAATGTGAAAAGAAAAAGAATGTAATAAAACAATGTTAAATGTGAAAAGAAAAAGAATTTCATAAAACAATGATAAATGTGAAAAGAAAGAGAATAAGTTTCATGTTAACATCAGCACCATGATCAACTAAGAATTGGACAATTTCTATCGATTTCACTTTGATGGCAATACTAAGAGGGCATTCATTAATATCGAGAGAATCCAATAAAACAATGATAAATATGAAAAGAATGAGAACTCCATAAAACAATGTTAAATATGAAAAGAAAGAGATTATAAATTTTGTTGATATCAGCCCCATTAGAAATCAAACACGAAGCAACGCTATAATTACAAAAATACATGCTTTCTGCTATTGAATCAGGAGTTTGACGAAAATTTGATTTAAGGTACTCAGCAATTTCATAGTTTCGATAATTCAATGCTGTATTAATCATTTTTTTAAATGATTTACCTTCTTCTATCATTTGCATAAAAATGTTTTCATTTCCACCTTGAACAGCATATTCTTCGGAGTAATCAGTGTATTGAGCTCCTAAATTTTTCAAGTAATTGAAACATAATTCTGAGCCATATTTAATTGCCCAGTCAAGTGGTGTGATTTTATTAATTTCCTCATCAATATCAAGATTTGGGAATTTACTCTTAAGATCATCAACTTTATCCCATGCAATATAGTATAAAGGAGATTCTTTTGAATATAAATTCAGAATTTCATCTTCTTCAATTTCAGGTTCGAAGTTTTCGAATTTGAAACCTTGATAATGTAGAAGAGTAGCTAATTTATTATTTTGCGGTTTATAAATGTATGAAAATGCGTTTAATATCTTTTGATAAAGTTCTGAAAATAATTTGATTTCTTTAACACGAATTTGTGAAAAAATGTCTATGAAATAAAGTGCCATTTGGATATGTATTTTGTGGGTTGTTATTAATTCGATAATTTGTGAAGATATTTGTATAATATTATTGTAATTGACGCCCCAAATGATTTTTGATGCTTGATCTGGGTATTCGAATACATTAATTGGCTTAAGGTCGCTGTAATTGCGCCAATTTTCATTTTTTGGCTCTGAACTTGTCATTCTTTTTGAAAATTTTGGTTGTGGCACTTTTAAGGGTGGCATCCGACCAAATTGTCACTTTCTAACCCAAGCGAGAAAATTTCGTAATTTATAACCAAGTTTTTTAAAATCTATATATATAATGCTTCACTAACATGACAAAAATTATCCCTACAAATCCGCATAAATTAAAATAAACATTTTTACAAATTTTTATAAAAAAATTTTTCAAATTACCACAGGCTATTTCAGAGGATTGAGTGACAACTCAATCCTCTGAAATAGCCTGTGGTAATTCTTAGTCTCTACACTATTTCTAGGGTTGTTAGATTCCCGACGATAGGTGTCTTGGAAGATTTGCCTGGTGTCATCGTAGTGTCTTTAAATCAAAAATTTTATTTTGGAGTTAGTTTTATTGATTTTTCAATAAAAAACATTTCTAAAACAAGAAAATAAAACGATAAAATATTTATATTTTATATAAGGATCTTATATATTTAAAATAAATATCATTTTATTTTTTTCATTGGTGTCTGTCAAACCATAATACACTATTCAAAAATTCAATGTGTCTTGCGGTTTCAAAAGACACCTTCAAATTGAACGATAGCACAGACACTATTGAATTTTACCCATTTTATTTAGTTTTTACCCTTTTTATTTTTAAGAATTAATGACTGAAACAGCCGTTTTGCTATGACCTCAATCACTTTTATTTATTATTTTAAATATTATTTAATTTTATTATTTGAATAGGCCAACTTATATTTGAGAAGCTCAATTTGAGACCACTTAATACATTGAAATATCATAAATATTGAAATATTAAAAAGTGTATTTCAAAATATTGAAATTATAAAAATTTATAATACTGAAATTGAGACAAATTAATAAATTCAATGTGTTTTTTTTGAAATAACTCTCAAATATTATTTTTTTGTTTATTTAATGATGAATAAATATGATTGCTTTAGTCAATCATAAAAACTAATTTAAGTTTAAAATAATGAAAGGATAATTTGATCGTTTTTTAAAATACAATTATTTTTGATGATTTGCAAGAATCCTTGAAAAGAATATAATATAGGTTCTATTTTTGTAAAATTTATCCAAATCATGTATTACATAAATTACGATTAAAACGATGAAAGAACCAAAAAGTGTGTTTTGTGTTTTGTTGTTGCGTGTTGGATGCGGGATCCTGTTATTTCCGAAATCGACAAAAAATTTGGAAATTTAATTTCAGAAATCGAAATTATATTAATGTTTTTAATATTCTTATATCAAAAGGATTAAAGTTCATTAAGAGAAAAACAATTCTTCTTCTTCAATCTATTGGCGCATTTATTTCTACACGCCAATAAGGAAGGGAAAATTATAAGACACCATGGTGTCTTCAAAACGCTAATTTTTGATATTTTTAACAACCCTAACTATTTCAATACAAGCTCCATTTTTAAACAGTTTTTTAAAAATCGAGCATCGAAGAAAGTGTTGAAACCCTCAATTTGTGGGAAAAGTTCTCAATTTTGTATTAATTTTAGGTATCACAATTCGATTTGTGGTCATTTCATCTTATCACGTGGTAAGTTTTTATAAAACTCTTTATTTACCATCGAAAAGTATAGGAAGTATTTGGTATTTATACATTGATTTTGTGCAAATATGATAAGTAGTTCCGGATCTCATCACTTAGATTTAATAGATACGTGTTTTGCTGAATAGAAAAGATAGATTTTTGTACCTATATTGAATACCTTAAGTATTTTTGATATTAATTCAAAAAACAGAGACTAGATAGATACAATTAATGTAAAATTCAATTTTTTCATTCATTAGATCTATTTATAAATAGCAGTGAATTTATACCCTTCATTTCCTGGTATCATCGTCACTTTTATTTTGGTGGTAATTTTTGTTTAAATCATAACTCGATGAATATCGTGTTCTAGAATACGAGAATAGCATCACTAGTTAGAGCACATACTAAATATAAATACTTTGTACTTTTTATTTGTTTTTGATATCATGACCTAATGAGATAGTTTAAGGAAATAAAAGTCATATTAAATAAATTAAATATTATTTTTATACAATGTAGTATCTATTTATCATATTTTTTATGAATTTACTAAAGAAAAATTTTTGCATTTCAAAAACGTCGATTCCAGGCTCGCATCAAAATTGGTATTTACATAGTATGATTCGTGCGAAAATATAATTAAAATCCAAAAAGGAGATTCGACCAAACCGTTTAACCGCCAAAAATGAAATATTGCCAAATACAAAAAGAATTAAGCCAAACAAATTTACAATGTATGTACTATTTATTTTTTATACTTTCAATATTTTTTAATTTTTTTTATTAAATATTAGGTTTTGGAATGATTCAGTTATGTATTCATGTAAATCCTATAGGTAGAAAGCATCTTTGAGCTTCAAAATTTTGAAATCTCTTAAGGGTGCACCCGTATGTACGTTTATTTGAGAGGAGGAGGATTACCCTCTCAATTTTGAGGGATTCGTTAGTTTATTTTCTCGATGAATATGCAATAAAATTTGATTTTTACCTTATCAATATACTTCATATAATATACACATGTTCATGTAAAAACTTTTTTCCAAAATCCTCAGGAATTAAGGGATTTTTGAATTTTAAGAATTTTTTTCGAATTTTTTCGCAAAAAAAGTATTTTCAGAATATAGATCCGTATTTTTCCCAAGTGAGCGGGGTATCTCCAATCCCAGCCCTATCGTCCTCCCAGTGTCAGTTTTCAATATAAAATCCAAATTTTTTTTTGAAAATAAAAATTTCGAGAAATTTTTCTGATTTTTTTTCTTTGATTTCAATAATTCAAAATAAATTTGGGAGTAAAAAGACACTATTTAATGAAATTCATATGAGTGAATGTGGATAAATACTCTCAAAACATACAATTTATCTATTTTTTCTTTATATTATCAACTAATTAGTGATAATTTTTTTTGAATCAGATTTTTTTTTCATTAAAAACATAATATATAACACAACAATGATGCACACATACGTATCTACACATCAAAATATAAAGCTTGTTTTGGTCTGGGCATCCCAACCCAAAATTCTTTAAAAATTGAATAAAATTGAATACTTGGGGCTGGGATACCCATCCCAAAACCGAATTGAATTTTTTGAATTAAAGAATATATTTATGTATTTATAATATACATGTGATGTCTATAAAAAAATACTAAATTCTAAAAAAAATTCAATTTATTCAAAACGTATACTAAGTGATCACTTCATTAGTAGGATCAGCAATCCTACTAAATGGTGAGAACGCCACTAACTAAAAAGGGAGTCCTTGGAGCTCTTGATCTCTTGTCAGTAGAGTTCATAATGAGGCATGGCATCTACTGATTAGAGATCAGAGCAATCCTACCTTACCTTCAGGAGCTACAAAGCTCCTAATCGTTACGAGAGGGAGCCTTGGAGCTCCTGAAGCTCATCAGCAGAGGCTATTTAGCATTTGGGCCTCTTCTGATGAAAGATGCGAAACACGTCTACGAACCAGGAGCTTCAAAACTTCTAATCCTTACTAAAGGGAGCTTTGGAGCTCCTGAGTCTCCATCAACAGAGTCCCAGATGGTAAATGTCCTTTGCTGATGAAAGATGCGAAACACATCTACGAACCAGGAGCTCCAAAGCTCCTAATCCTTACGAAAGGGAGCCTTGGAGCTCCTGAAACTCCTTTTACTATAAAATAGGACAGTTTTCTTCTGAGGTTCTCATCAAATCTAAGACTTCAGAAGAAAGCTGTCCTATCAATGTATACTTACACTCTCATGGACTACAAGTGTACAATTTTAAGGCAGAGATTATCCGAGGCCTCTCATCAAATGAGGGACCTCGATAATCTCTACCTTAAGTAGTCAAATAACTTTTCTCACTATTTAGGAACAAAAGAACAAGAGTTGGAGTACTTTAAGGCAAGATTCTTCCGAAATCTCTCATCGAATGAGAGACTTCGGAAGGACCTTGCCAAATCCTTGAACGCCAATATCCTTGGAACTGAGCTAGAACCAGGGAGAAGTAGCATACTATAGAGCACGATGGTAATCTCGGAAATGCTTATATCGCCCCAAGCACAATATTTAAGAAGTCTAACTCATATATACAAGAAGTCAGGCTGAATAGATATTGTGCATATGGTTTGCAGAACTCTCATGATATTTAAAATTCATGTTATCCCAAAAAGGTGACACTTTGGGTGTATCGTCCATCCCAGGGATGCAAAAATCACATCACCTTGGATCTATATTTCAGAACAGCCTTAACGGCTAAGATTTAGGAACAATGTTAAGTATCAAAAAGAAAGGAGGTCTGATATAGACAACATATATCGTTGAAGGTTGAAAAAATCTCTAATATTTGAGCCCAAAATTTCAAATTTTAATTTTTTGAAAAAAGAGGCCACCCGTATGTACGTTTATTTGAGAGGTGGAGGATTATATTTTTGAAAGGGTGAAACATTATAAATATGTTAATTATATAATAATATGTATTATTATAAAAAAGAAAAAATAAAGCACGTTAAAATTTTTCTTTCTTGATTTTTTACAAAATCTACTTAGAATTATGCAAAATATGACTAAATAATTATAAATTTCAAGTTAAATTTTAATTTTGATAAATAATTTAAATTTCAAAATATCAAGTTCAGTTCGACTATGTATGTAGTAATTCCTCAATAAAGTGCCAAAACCCTATTAAAATATATGAACATTTTCAACATTTTAATGTTTTTATTTAAAAATTTGATGGAATATGAGCTTCAAACAATTATTATGTAAATAAAAATAATTAAATATATGTATTTATTCGTATTACAACCGTAGTAAGTCGATTCTTCCTTTCTTCTACTGAGATTTGAATTTGATTGCGAATTGTAAAGAGATTCAAAGGGAAAATACTAGCGGATAAAAACTACCTCCATGAAAGGGTCATAATGGACTCAAGTTGTATTTTTTGATATTTTTTG